CTGGCACCACTACTCCTTTCCAAGCATGTGCATGGCCCCTATGTGCACTGTTATCTGATGCTCGGCTGCTGGGGCAATGCTGGTGTGACTTGGCTCACATGCCAACACAGGGCACTGTGTGCCTGCTGTGACACACATGTCATAGATTCACCAGCACTGCCCCAATCCTACCCGGGTGCACACCCCTAAATGTAATGTAGGGCGAAAATTCCATGGAAAAGAGGGTGATTTTGAAAAACCCTTCCTTGAGTAGCTTTTTCTGCACAGCTCATCATTTCTGCCCATTCTAATGAGTCATGGCTTATGACATCATCGCCTGGCGCCGCTACTCCTTTCTGAGCATGCGCTTGTCCCCTATATGTGCTATTATCGGATGCTTGGCTGCTGGAGGGATGTTGGGGTGACTTGGCTCACGTGCTGACAGAGAGGGCTCTGCGTGCCCACTGTGACACCCGTGCCATAGGTTCGCCACCACTGACCTAGGTGAATAATTCTACTCACAGGATACCTCAAAGTGAAAACAAACCAGCCAGGACTGTCCTGTCCAGCTCCTATTCATTGGAAATAGAGGAAGTCTGACTCAGCTCGTTACTCTAGGGTTGTCTACCCTGGCCAGTCAGGGACCTTGATTACTGATAAGATGGTTGGTGAAGCCACCTGTGCTGCTGATACAAAGCATCTGCTAAGCAGTATTTTTTACTTTCTGCACAGAGTCTCTGTCTTCATGCATGTGTCCTCATGAGAGAGACCAGTTGACTGGAGCTAAGTTTTGCCTTCAGGTCACAGATCTCCATTCACCTCAACATCATATTGAACCTGATGCCTAACTGTGTTGATTTGCTGGCAAGAGAACTACATAGCTTTACTAGTCTGGAATCCACTGTGGACATGCACACAGGAATGGTGGGGAAGAGTCCTTGCCAAAAATGCCTCAGCTGTAGAAGTGTCCTGAATATGCTCATTCAGGCATGTTACCCATCTGTATGGTATGCAGAGACCGCAACCAAGAACCAGTGTAGTCGCTGTATTATAAAATCAGTATTGGTTCATAGATGAACAGTTGAAGAGGATCTTTGCCATGAATCCAGTGGTTTTAGTTGACACACTGCTTGCCATAATAAAAGGGTGACTCAAAAGAGAGAAACTTGTTCTCTCACCCATGTTACATGGCAGGAAGCTGTGTTTACCACTTTTAAAAGATATATCTAAGTTAATTGGTCTTCATTTTGCCTTCCTTTTAAGATTAGTTTTGAAATACTTAATTATGTGGCAGACTTCCATTTCTAGAGAAAGTAACTGCCTACCAACCACTACTGAGTGTTCATCAATAATGCTAAATGGATTCAAGTATATCTTTGGACCTAGAAGAGATGCCTTGGGTAAAATTTGAGCAAACTGAAAATTCTTTCCAGAGGAGATGTTGCCTAGAAGCTTATTTGTACTATGTTTACATAGCCATCTTCTATGAGCCAGACAATGTGGACTGCAAAGTATTGCGAAAAAGAATGTTGTACAAATATCATGAATAGGTTTTTATAATTTTTCTGTTATTTTCACTAGCGAGTAGAAAATGGTGACTTCAACTGGATTGTTCCTGGAAAATTTTTAGCATTTAGTGGACCACATCCAAAGACCAAGATAGAAAACGGTATGTGACTTTTCTTTTACTTTTCATAGACTCCTTTATCTGTATCATATGATTAATCATTGTGTTTTAGAGATTTTCTTATGTACATGCAAGCAGTTGATATATGCACGGGATTATATCTGGTTCCCTCCCAGCATACGCAAGTGGAACTTCTTATGCTGTACTGAAGTCTACTTCTAGAGCTTTGAGCTCGCGCAGCAGCTCATCATCCATGTTTGAGACTTCAGGATGTCTTGAGGCATTTATTCACAGAGATGGTATATGCTGGGTTTTTTTAAGGATACCTTGAAAACAGAAATTGTGTATACACTTCCCTGAGTCCAAAATCCAGAGGTTTTCATTTCTTCATCTCGTAATAAACTTTCAAGTAACCTGAGAATCCTAATTTCATAGCCTTTTTTGCAACTGCGTTTAGATTAAAAGAGTTTGTAAGTGTGTGGGGAAATTGATGGACCTTTCTGTTTTCATTCTTAAATCTGGTAATTTGCATGAATTGTACTTTGATTAAAGATGACCTATTAACATTTGCAAAAAGATCTACAGCTCTTATGTACAGATAACATAAAGAGAAAGAAGGGGTGACTGCTCCTGCATCTCTAATGTATAGATAATGGTCTTTTGTAGTTGTGAGGATTCTGCAGGCTGTATTTGAAGCATTTAAGTACTTAAAATTAAATATTAATTGCTAATAAGCTTCTGGAAAGGATGATACATCTGCATGAATTGCCACGTTACAGAATCTTTTTCAGTGGAGTCTGGCCACCCTAAGAGGCAAATTAAGGGCTTCATGGACATTAGCAAAAATTATAACCTAGAATGAAAAATGTAAAGATAATATGGCCTCTGTTCCTTATTTTCATTTTTAGATAATGAAAAATAAATGTTTCAAAGTCTAAAGAGTGATGTACTTCTGCATTCACTGTTCAGAATAAATGCTGAATTTTGAAAACAAAGCATTTTCCAAGTTCAAGGCTCAACATGCTAGATATGTTTCAGAGTATTAAATTAATTTCCATCTAATGCAGCTATGCATGATTTAAGGGAGCGTCTTCATTTTAAAAATTCCTCTTGGATCCTGGTTTTTCAGAACCCTTCTATCTGGCCTTAAACTTGTTCTTATAACTCTGCAATTTCAGTAGCTATAGAACTATTAAAAAGAAGAAAAGGAACTATATAAAAGCTATATAAAAAGAAAACACTGGGGGGCAACATATAAGTGAAGCATTTGCACATTGTAGTGTATTGCTGGATACAGTGAGCTAATGAAAGAAATCGCATATCAGTCATGGTTATTGTGCCCCAAACCAGTTGGAAAAGGTACCACTTGAATATTCATGCATCTGTTTGAATTAAGTTCTTTTCATTATAATATAAAGGTTATATAAAAATGTGGCCTCCTGGTCTATGACAAAAAGGAGAAGGCTGGAGCCCAGTCACATTTCTGTCCTCTCATGCTGTTTTAATTATCCAACTTCTGACAATACTAGCCAGAATATCATTAATATTTCGTTACTCTCTGATTAAAGATCTTTTGACTGCATGCCTGAAGCATTCAACTTTGGACAGCTTTTCTTAGTAATGTGTGAATTCTGTATGTTGATTGCATTAGTAACATTTTTATTTTTAAACCATTTGATTTTAAAAGTATGTTGTAGTTTCTGTTTGTGTAGCTGGGCAGTTTCTGGAGATTATACTTAAGCACAATTTGCTTGTTATAGGCTACCCTCTCCATGCACCCGAAGCCTATTTCCCATATTTCAGGAAGCACAATATAACAACAGTCATAAGACTCAACAAAAAGATATATGAAGCAAAGCGTTTCACAGATGGTGGGTTTGAACACTACGACCTGTTCTTCATAGACGGAAGCACACCAAGTGACAGTATATTGCAACAGTTCTTGAACATTTGTGAGGAGGCAGAAGGTGCCATAGCTGTACATTGTAAAGGTATATTTAAAAGCTCTAAATGGCAGTTGAGTTGTACTGTGTGATAGCATAAAAGGGAATAAATAACCAGATTTGAAAATTGCATACCAGATCTTAAGCAATTAAAAAAAAAGACTGGCTTGCTGAAATAATTCAGATTGCATATGCTTCAACTCTGATTGCAGGCTGAAGTGACATGTTAGTTCCTGCTGTGTTATATTCAGATCCTTCTTTATTCCACTAAGTGATGCTATTACCTCTCTTTTTCATAAGGATTTCTCTTTAGTAATTTTAAAAATTACCTTGTAGACCTGGAACATACTATGCTTGTGTGTATGGGAAAGTGCTAATAGCCATTTCTGCATGGTGTTCCATTTTCTCCATAAAAGACATTCAGATAAAAGGATTTGGTTTTTATAATAGGAAAGTAACAATGTAGCTCTGTCCTTTTCTTTCTCTGTGAGTCACTTTTCTTTCCTTTCGTTGGCAAAAAGAATGTAAAAGGCCTTCCTTGGCTTTTGTTTATTTACTTTTATAAAGGCAGCAAGCCTCTCTTCTAGGGCCCATCCAGTCTAGCAGTCAGCCCTTACTGCACTCTTCCTGTCCCTTTTCTAACAAGGCAGGAACAGTAAATTAATATCTTTGATCCTCTAGAATTACAGCAGAGAATACAGAACATTCACTGTTCTGTTGGCTTCCTCTAAGCTGACCAAGGTTAACATTTAGAAAAGAAATTTCAGAGGAGGCAGTTTCTTAGAATACTGAGCAAAAGAAAGAAGTGGAAGGGATAACAACATTTGACACCAGTCCTTATAGTGCTGTATAAGCTGGAGCCTACCCTGTTTTCATAGAAGGTTATTTCAATGCACATGATCAGGACTCCACTACAACCTCCCCAAAATACATTCTGGATAAGAATGCAGCCTCAGGAAATTATACTGTGTGCTAGCAGGGATGAGGAGGATTAATTAGTGCTGCTGATGAAAATTGCAATCTCTACAGGAGCTGAAATCTTAGTAAATAATGCTCTGAAGCAGTCTGCGTGAGCTTAAGTGGACTCCAGGAGATGGTGGAGGACAGGAAGGCCTGGAGGAATGTTGTCCACGGGGTCGCGATGGGGCAGATACAACTTCGCAACTAACAACAACAGCAACGCTCTAAAAATAAGTGTTAGGGAGGATGACAAAGAAATATAGTTGAATAAATGTAGACAGACAGACAACATAGCAAAATCATTATTTGTAATTGGCTCTGCTCCCACCAGTGGCAGCTAACAATGAAATTTTTACTCCATGTTCTAAAAATTTAACATCAGGTCCTACACATTAAAAAGGTGAAAAGAGAAACTTGGTAAGGCAACGTCACATCACATGTAACTTAGCGCCACTTGCGCATGTGCCTTCAGTTTGACAAGTAAGAAGGCAATATATCATTGTTCAATAAAACAAGGAGCTGTACATTCTAGATAATCCAGGGCAGGAATAGAAAGGGCACTGGAGGTTAAGGCAGGCATTAGTAAGGCTGTATGGGATCTAGCAGGATGTTTGTACTGTGATGAATTCATGATGCTTAAAATAGACTTTAACAGCATTCTTTTGTAAAACACGATACAAGGAAACACATTTCAGGAGTGTAACACATTCAACAGTATCCTTCGATGTTCTAAAGGTGTGTAGCTCATACTTAGGATCAATGTTTATGTTTTTTCCCTTCTTTAATGTAGCTGGGCTAGGAAGAACAGGAACACTGATAGCCTGTTATATAATGAAACATTACAGATTCACACATTCTGAAGCCATTGCTTGGGTACGAATGTGTCGGCCAGGTTCTATTATTGGACCCCAGCAACACTTTCTTGAAGAGTAAGTATGACATCTATGTTACTTTTATAATGTACTGTTCCAAGCCATGCACAATTCCCTGTATGTAGAGCTTAGCAAGTCTTTTGCATAATGGCCTAATTACATGGGTGGCTTTCTTTGAATTGTAGGCTGAAAACATGCACAGTTTGTAAGGGTATAACTTAATTTCTGTGAGATAAGTCGGCACCACTGCAATAATGATGTTTTGGGTTTTAAATATTTTCAAAAAATAAGTTCACGCTTTCTGTGTGACTTAGAGCATAGTGAGGCCTGAGGTCAAACAGTATTTTGAGTGCATCTGTAACTTGATATTCCTTTGGTTATTAAAATAAAAGTCTGAAATTTCAAATTCACCATGCATGTGCATACCTTATTTGACAACTGCAAGCTTGGCATCCTCCTACCTATTCTTGAAGCGGGAAGAAAAAATTAAAGTGTATACTTTAGGCTGAGACCCAGTGTGATGTAGTGCTTGGGGAAAAGGTTCTAGCCCCAACTCCACCATAAGGTCCATTGGATGACCTTCGGCCAGTCACTGACTCTCAACATTACATACCTCACTGGGTTGTTGTGAGGATAAAATGCAGAGGAAGGTGACCATAGAGGCCAGCATGGGTTCCTCACAAGATACTGTTATTGTTACATTTATTTACTTCCTGCCTTTTTTTCCTCTTGTGGGGGAACCCAAGGAATTCACATAGCTCCATTTTAGCATCCCAACAACAGCATTGTGAAGTAAGCTGAGCTGAGAATCTTTGAGTAGCCAAAAGTCACCCAGTGAGCTTCATGGCTGAATGGGAACTGGAACCCAAATCTCCAGGTCCCCAGTCCAATGCTAACACTACATGACTCTCTAGAAGTAAAAGTAGAAAGGTTGCTCACCTAAATCTGATTTAAAAAAACTAAACCAAGCCATCTGTATTACATTATGAGATTTGTAGTGGCAGATATGTATCCGGCAGTGATGTCATAGTGATATTATGTTAACTGGTTAGAAGGAATGCTAGCAAAACACAAAATTATCACTCAGTACTATACCCCTTAAATTCACCACACTCTGCTGGTTGTTTTGTTCTTATTTAAATAATGCAGTCCCATGCATGTCTGCTAAGAAGTCCTACTGAGTTCAGAGGGACTTACTTCCCAGTAAGTTTGCATAGGATTGCAGCTACTCTTGTGCCTGTTTGCACAGCTTCAAGAACTGGGAATGGGTAGCTTTTATATTTCGGCATTCCAGTGTCTGTCTTCCTTCAGCCATTGTCCCTCTCTGCCATGCATATAGTGTGTGGGGCTAGCTAGGCATGCTCAGTAAGGTTTCACAAAACCTGCCTCATGGTGCTTGACCTGTACCTAGAAGCAGGGTAGGATCAGAACAGACCAGGTGCAGGCAATCTGGTGCACTCCAAATAACTGGGCTAAAACTCCCAACCTCCCAACCCAGTGTACCCCTGATGGCTTGAGGATTATAAATTGTAGTCCAAACTACATCAGACTAACCCGTCTTAGTATAGACAAGAGCAGTCGCATTCATTACTTGAGCAGCCTTGTGAGGGATACCTAGCATGATACATTCTGCATTGATTAGCATGACATAAAATAGTGACTTGCTTCTGGCATCAGATCTTTCCACACATTATATATTTTAGAGTCCCCACTTCCCCAAAAGCAAGAATTGAAGGTTGTTACCTCAGTCACTTTATATAAAACCAGTGTGGATAGGTATCCACTCTTTAATCTGTATTAAGTAATTATCTTCCAGCGTGCACGGTGTTTGCCTTGATTCATTGATTTCATTTTGGATGGTCACCTATTAAGTATTATCTGAGCAGTTTACAGATCAAGCCAAAATGAACTGTTAAATTTACAAAATACAATAACTAAAAACACAATAAAACACAACGTTAAAAAGTCCCTCCAGCATCAAAAAAAACCCTGCCAATTGGTATAAAACAATTAGCAGTCAGATTATTAAAAATATACTTTCTGAACCAAAAAGAATATCTGAAGGCTTATTAATCCTTTGTATATTGTAGCGTATTCTAGAATCTACAATTCCAAGTTGAGGGTAGGGATACATGAATGTTTCACCAACCTACCGGAAAAACCCTACATGTAGAAAGTAGCTTATTGAGGTAAAGGCTTCTTGATGTGCTAGTCTCTAGATACATAAACAGTTGGTTTTGTCTTAATAAGTTAATGTTCAGTATTGTTCAATACTCCAGCCCCACATTTGTATCATGGTGAGGAACAGTCCATTAAAAAGCTTTACCACTTGTTTGACTGAATATGTCTTCTGCCCTTTAGAAACTATTTGTATGTTCCCAGTGCAATCTCCATTAGGAATCTCTCCACCACTGCAAAGGTAGCAAGGGTCCCCTCAGTACCAATGTAACCCTGCCCAGAAACTGGGCTAATGCTGCTACGCAGAGGAGGGCCAGCATAGACCGTGCCAAGTCTTCTCTCCACCCCCCAGGCCCACACGTCATCAGGTGTACCAGTAGTGACTTCAGCTTTGTCTTGAATCAGGTTCACCTGGCTCATATGAAGCTGCATACCCAGTTGGAAGGTACAGCTTGGTTCTATCAGTATCTTCATGGCCATTTTCCCTGAAAAAGACATTTTATTTATAGCTCAACAATTATTAAGCAGATGGTGCACTACGAGTCATGTGTTCTATACAGTATCTACAAGATACATATGACCTTAAATTATGCCTAGTTACTGAAATGTATATGCCCATTTGGGATCATATCAATTTTAGCAAGACACGGTGTAAAGGTTTAATTTCCTGGAACGAAAATAGGAGCAGATTGGCAAATCAGATGAGGAAGAGGTTTCAGTATTTATTCTCTTGAATAAAGGTCCCAAGTATAAATGCCAGCAACAAGCAATAGCAGCTTTGTTACAAATAAATGTTCCAACATTAGAATTTTGACTGTTTTCAAATGTTGATGCTGCTGTCAGCTATTCACGGTTATACAGTATAGTCAACCCATTAAAATAACAATAGTGATTACAAATAATTCTTACCCACTACTGATCTTGCCTGCTTGATGGGGAGTTTCCTGTACCTGGAGCTAGAGATCCACTAAACATTAAAAATAATACTTTCGGCATTTTTTTGTATTAAGCATTCTTTGCTATTCTAAAGTGCCCATATGTCCCCAACTATGGAATGTAAAAAGGTTAATAACTTTATTAGGTTATGTTTGCAGTGCTTCTTATGAGATGGAATCTAAGATTTTGAAACACATGACATTTTGCAGCAGAAGGATAGCATAGTGCCATTCATTAAAAAGCTTCTCAAAGACACTGAATTTTGGAACTCTGCAGTGACATGTTCTTCAAAGTTCTGTGGAGCTCTTGGACACATTTGTCTGCAGAAAGAATTCCTTTCTTATGCGTGTTCTCTTTTACTGTGTGCGTACATGGGCCTGGGTACTTGAAAAGAATAGGAAAAGCCCATGCATACCTGTAGCTCTGTGATCAGATTGAAGCTTCTTAGTCAACATCAGAACTGCTGGATTGAGCCCTAGCCTTGCCTGCAAAAAATGTGTTGATTAATATCCAAGTAGAAAGGTAACTGTTGCAAGGACACAGGGCACTTGAACTATAGTGCCTCTTGTTTCTCTGTTGCCCAAATACTCAAAGGAATTTGATGCTGGAAATCTGTACATCTAACAGCAACTACCCATTATTTAACTTCCATAGCATGCGTTGTCCTTCCCTTCCCCTCTCCATTTTGGAATATGCAGAGGTGACAAGGAGCCCTCCCTTGTTGTCGGGGTGTTAAAGTCCAAAGTAAAGTAAGCTGGTGTCTCCATGTTTATGCTCCATTGCTCTCTGGACCTGGCCAGGGTTACGCAGCTGGTTTTGTACTCAGAACAACATCTAGGTTTCCAAGAGACCAAGGAAAGTTTCCTTTGTACGATGTTCAAAGGAAGCCTTGTTTGCCATAGAATTACATTGTTAACAATGCCACCCAAAGCAAAAAATGGGATAAAGGATTTTTAATTTTTTTTTACCGTGGTAAAAGACCTTCCGCAAATGTTATTGTAAGGCTTATTAGTGAGAGATGTATTGTTCAATTTCCAGTTTAATAGTTTTTATTAGGTAGCTATGAACTCAAAGAATCGGGGAGAGGTTCCATTTCAAGGCTAGTTCCTCATCACTGGTTATGCTGTTTTTCCTTGGTAATTAATAGCCTAAGAATAAATGATGGAAAGTATTTATGAATAATTATTCACATGCATATAAGTGATATATGAATTTTAAAAAGACCGAGGAGAAACACAACTTTCCATCCTGTTATTTCTGTGTAACTCACATACATTCCCAGCAAGTTATTTCAAGACTTGGCGTGGCTTGCATGACCACAATCGGTGTAATCTCAGATCACTCAATTATAGTGGGTATCAACTTCCTCTCTCTAAGCAGGGATACTTTTTTCAGCTTTCTAATCCTGCTGTTTTCACCAGTTATGTAACCTCCCTGTGGGAGCCTCTTGCTGATTCAGGGTCTACAGATAGTGCTATTCCTTTTGGTCATCATCACAGTAGCTGCATTTCATCCCACTAAGCAAAATTGCAGAAAAGATTGTCCAGGGAGGAAATCTGCAAAAAATTTTTCATAAATGAAAGGAAAGGTGATGCTTTCATACTATGCTGACTTCGATAGACAGACCATTGTAAGTGGATAGGGGAAAAAATCAGTTCCTTCCTAATTAGTTGCTTTTACAAACATATATAAATATATAAACATTTTACAGCTATATGTGTATATAATTTATATATTTTGTATACATTTATATACATACATAAAAAATATATTTAAAACAGTTTTTCATCATTTAATTTCTTGGTCTGAGTAGATATTGCCTAGAAAACTAGGTTTAAAAGACTCTAAAATTAGTGTGCTGGGGCAATCCTTCCCACTTGGATTATCCTTCCCACTTGGATTATTGCAACACCCTCTACGTGGGGCTGCCCTTGAAAATGGTCCGGATACTGCAATTGGTACAGAATAGAGCTGCCAGGCTGCTGACGGGGACCGGCCATTACGCTCACATAACACCGGTCCTCTGCCAGCTCCACCGGCTTCCAGTTGAAGTCTGGGTCCAATTCAAGGTGTTGGTTTTGACCTATAAAGCCCTAAATGGCTTGGGACCAGGATACCTGAAGGAACGTCTCCTTCCTTATATGTCCCCATGCCTCTTAAGATCTATGGGAGAAGCCCTACTCCGGGAACCCTCTCTATGAGAGGCAAAAAGGTCATCAATTCGGATAGGGCCTTCTCTGCTGTGGAACCCAGACTCAGGAATGTACTCCCCAGAGAGGTACACCTGGCACCAAGTTTATACTCTTTTCAGCACCAGGCCAAAACCTTTTTATTTAAACAGTATTTTAAAATTTAATAGGTTTTAAATGTAGTCGCTCTGTTTGCTTTGTGATTTATTGTTTTGTTCTGTTTTATTATTTATTGAAATTGTTGTTTTAATTGTCTTTTTAAATATTGTAAACCATCCTGAGAACTTGTATAATAGGGTGGCATACAAAAGCTTTTGATAAATAATTAAATATGCATGATTACCACAGCCCACTGTGGCTTATGTAAGAGTGGATTACATATGTAAGAATAGATTGCGGCACATCCCAGCAGCCACTTTGACTGTTCAACACCTTGCACACGCTCCCACCTACTATGATGTGTTGCAGTGATCGTGCAAACTTAGCCTGTGTGCTTGATTGCTGCTAAAAATACCACATATATAAATCTCTTGCAAATGTACAAATACTTTTACAGACTTCAGCAAAGAAGTTTGACAATTTGGAAATACTTTTCCAAGTCTACTATATTTGTATTGCTGGGGCAGTTTACCACTTAGTCCCTTCTTAGGATCTGGTTGTTTTACATATATTGTTGCAGCATTCCACTTTCCATAGCAGAAGATGGTATGCCAAAGTCATTCCTTTTAAAAATTAAAATACTGGAAAATCACTTTGAAGTTTCATGGGCATGCTGAAGCAGTTTTTACAAATTTGCAATATATTAAAGGATATTTTTCTTGTTGTGGACTTTCCTGACCGAAAGTACAAACTACATTGAAATAACAATAACATTTTTTTTTTAGAAAAACTGGTTTTTTAAAAAGTTATGAATCCTTCAGGGACTCAATTTAGCTTATTGGGGCTGGGACTGGAGGTAAATTCATCTCCATCATTCTTCCTGCCCTGCCTGCTTCTTGCTGGCAGAGCATGGAATCAGTCGAGGACTCCAATCTGACTTTTCATGCCATAGTATATAAGCCATATTTTTACACTGGGTCTGACATATGTTTACTAAACTAATTTTGTCTTTGTAATTGTTGAACAGAATGCAGTCAACATTGTGGATCCAAGGAGACATTTACAGAGCCAAACAGAAACCCAGGGGAATCGATGAAGATAGTGTGGACAAAGTTTTATCTGGTTTGGATGACATTTCCATCAGTGGAACCTTGATGAATCAAGTCGAAAATGTGGATAGATGTGAGGAGGTAATATTCACTGGACTTTCTCTTAATGTCAAAGTAGAAAAGCATACTTAAATAGCTGGAATTTATTACAGCATACACACTATAAAATGTAATAGTTTATGTTTATTTTAGCATATTTGCAAATTCAGAGCATCATGACTGTTAATATTGTGTGGCAATCCTTACAATAACCCCATAAAAGAGGACAGTACTATTAACACCATTTTACAGATGGAAAAGTGGGCTTAAGAGAGAGAGCTTACCTAAGGCCATCTCTTAAGTTCAGAAAATGGAGAGCTAAGTATCAAGAGCATATTGCTGATACATTATTCTGTATTGCCAGGTGCCCTCTTCTGGTGGCATCATATAAATATTAAATAGCATGGGATCAGAATAAGGTGGAATTTTGTAGTTTTCCATAACAGAAGCTGGTTGAGTTCAACATGACCCTCTGGAATGAGTGATTTAACCATTGTGTTATAAAATGAATTTGGTATCAACACATCCTGCCTTATTTTTCTGTTTTGTTAACTGATAATAAATTAGAGTTCCTTGGTTCAGATATAATGGAGAACTCTACATTAATGCAAACCAAGCTGTTTTTATTGCGGGGAGGTCTGCTTAATCCTAAAACTCATGCTTGGCTTTGTAAACCAAAAAAATATATATAGCTGAAGTTCTTCATAGTCTCTGTGCATCACTTCTATGGACTTTGCCATGGAACTCAAGGCCTCAATTGGAGAAAAGCTTCCATAGCTCAGTGTCATGGAGTGGGCAGGAGCCCAGCCCTGCCTCCATCAGAGACAGAATAAAGTGGGGGGGCTCCTGCCCAGTCCCTCAGTTTTTCTTCTACCATGCTTTAAGTCACTTTGCCAATTGTAACTTCCACTCGATCCTTACCTGCTCACCATCCTCTTTCTCTCTTTCTGTTCTCTCCTCTACAAATACATATATACATCATTACCTACTCTTCTCCATACCTCTTATATTCCTCCTTGGCTTTGCCACGAGAGACAAAGCCCCTACTGTGTTTCTCTCCCTTCTCTCCTAGCCTTCCTCTCCTGCTTTGAGAAACAAGGCCACCTCCTCGCTCTCCCTCTCCTGCCTCATGTGCGCTTCATTTTGTGCCACATGGCCAACTCGGCTTTTCGCCATTGTTCCTCCTGCGCGGATGGTCACTCCAAATGCCTCCTCTGCCTTGGCAAGGGACATGTCATCAAGGCGTGCCCCCCCTGCTAGACATTTAAGAAGCAGACACACAGGCAGCGGGCCACTTGCCCCTGACTGGCACTCTGGCAAAGAACCCTCATGACCATCGACCCTCCCCGAGGAAAAGACCTGCCTCGATGGGAGAATGGCCTTTGGGCACTGTCGCTGCTGCCTCCAAAAAGAAAAAGTGCCACACTGCAAAGGATCCCTCTGGGAAATTAGAAAACACCAGTACCATAACTGGTATACATATTAATTCCTAGTTCATAACCCTCTAGTTGTACAAGTTCTTTTGGATGGAAAAACAAAACAGTGATGTGATGGCACTAATGTTCAACCTTGGTTGTGATATTATACAAAGGTACTACATTGTGTTTTTGCCCTTTGCCTGAGAACCTGGTATAGGACACAATTGATTAAAGGCATGCCTTTACTTTTATCTTGCTCTTCTAGAAGTACTGTCAAGCTTCAAGCTGCAGATACTTTCAGTTGGGCTTATCTGCTATGTATGGTACATTTATCATTTATGTTCCACTTCTGTTTTTGTAAGTGCCTTCTGGGAGGTCACTATGACACACAAAGACATGAACTTGTGAGTCAGGTGTTAGCTTACCAGTTTATTGTAGGTGGTATTTATACAAAATAATATAGTGCAAGAAGAAAAGATTTAGTGACTTCTAATTTGTACCCCCCTCTTCCAAATACAGTTTTTAAAACGTCATTTAGAATCCACTTAATTTAATTTTATTATACCCATTTTCCAGAATGATGTGGAAGACAATGAAGGAGTGGAAGTTAAGAATGGAATGACACAAGGAGATAAACTCCGTGCCTTAAAATTTCGGAGGCAGCCACGTTCAGCTACAACAGGAGCACTTAGGTAACCTGTTTACTTCATTCTATGTGTTCTGCAAGCCATGGTATTTCCTTGTGAACTACTGGATGGCCTTCTGCCGATAACTTTTAAATTTTTTTTAGGTTTCTCTGCTTTGGCAGTGAAACTTTGTTGCATCAAATGGTATTAAGGTAACAGACCCATAGGGGTGTGTTTGAGGAGAATGGAATTGTAGGCATCCTGGGGGATGTTATTTTTGCATAACAGGGTGGGCGGAATTCTTCCAGGTGTATGCTATGGCGGCGGCAGGTTACAATGTGTTGCTCAGCAGTGACCCCTATTGTCCAAGCTGCTGAAAGTTCAAGATGAATTACTTCTAGGTTTGAAATTAATGGCAGGTGGAGTAGTTATCCCTTCAGATTAGGCATGTTAGTGGTTGTACCTTCCACAAACATTAGAACAGGTCACCCAGTCACCATGTGCTGGTGATTATGGTGAATATCAAACCATGGCAGGTGATTGCCAGAGGTTGATTGTGATTTGCAGCTCTAACACGGGGGTTGCTGGCATGGTAAACAAACCACCCACAACCTGAATTCACCCGGTGACTCTCAGCTATGAAGAGATTAAGCAGTTTTACTTTTGACTAATGAGAATTTTAATATAAAATTTGTTGCAATACCTCGTAAGGGTCTGCTTTTGGAATAGCTGAAGGTTACGGTTAACCCTAACCCCATGTATGGACTATTGCTCCATATTTTAGCGATGGCTTTTCTGGAAGCACTCTCCAGGGTTCAGGCAGAGGCCTTTCCCGGAACCTACCACCTGATACTCCCTTCACCCCACCCCAGAGATGCTAAGAATTGACCTTGAGATGCTGTCCATGTATGGCCTGTGCTCTATCATGGATCTGTGGCTCCTATCATATATGTCCCTCTTTGTCGTAGGACAGCTGAAGGTGGCCCTACTTGAGGCATTTGTGTCATCCCAGGTACAGGGATGGGGGGATTCCTTACTGGTAGCCAATGCCTTGCTGAGTTAACTTCCAGGGAAGGCTCATTGGATCAGTTCCAGCCTTTATGAGCATAATAACAGTCTTCTGTTTTTCTCAATATTAGGAGAGGGATTGGTTGACAGGTTGGTACTCTAGCTCTTGGTAAACTGTAATTCTGTCATTACGTGGTGTTCATGTATATTTTTAATTGGATTGTTATATAGCATTTGTAGGGGTTTAACTTTGCTGTGTAGCATGGTAGAAATCCAATAATAAATAAATAATGCACCACATGTTTTCTAAGGTGATACTTCTGATATAAAATGCTATTGATTTTCTAGGTTAGAAGATATGAAACTGCATACCAGATCCATATCCCAGCCTTTCAGGTACTTATTTCAGTAGTATATGGGGAAGCATTTTGTGCTGTACTTCTCAGTGACTTATCTAATCTTTTAATCTTCTGAATGTTTCACCTCCCAGTACTGATCTTTGAATGTTTGAAGTTGAATGGCTACTTCCTGTGTCTTACTTCTTCTACAGAAAACTATTTGTGGAATTAACTCTTATTAATAGTTGTGTGCAGTGGCAAAGATTTATACTTACGTTTTTACAAGCTTTTTGTTGGGAGGGTGAATGCAAAGAGCATCTCAGCATATTTGTGTCCAACTCCCAAGTAATATATAATCTTCTACGCACTTGAATTACGCTGAACTGGAAGTGACTTTGCAGAGCAAATGAAAAGATTTTTTTTTTTGGAAGGCTGCCTTCCCTTGGCTGCTTAATGGCTTTAGATGTAATCTTCCCCACAGGTAAGTGCATTTATAATTCCAAGCTGAGACATGGTGAACTTCTCAGCAAGTATCTCAGCAGAGATCCAGCTGCTGAACCAGCTCTTTGAAATCTGCTTCATGCACTGTAAAATATACTCATTGATGGAGTTTTATATGGCAAGTGATCTCTGTGATTAGATCCTAGTGGTTTGGTCACCAACTCCCTGAATATTAGGGATTAAACTTCTGAGGTTACATGCTTCCTGGATTGTGTGAAACTCCCTAATCCAAACAGATTACTATTTATTTATTGCATTTTTATGTATTCATGAAATATTTATATCCTGACTTTCAGTGGAACAAAATCACTATTTTTTTTATTATAAATACAAATAAAAGCAAGTAATTTTGCCTAGCACTGACAAATCAACAGGGTAGTGAGTGAGGCAGGTGTCCCTGGGAAAAGAATTTATAGGTAAGAATCAGCACTCTTGAATGGAGTCCAGAAGCCAGTGAAGTTGTGAAAATTGGTGTTATATATTCACAGTAGCTCACCCTGGTTAATTCACCTGGCAGCTTCATCAAGCCAAATAATTTAGCCTCTATTTTCCAAGCCATCTTAAAAAAAAACTCAGGCGGAACAGATTACAGTAGTCTAATCTTGATGTCTTTTAAGTATAAAACACTCTATTTAGGTTAGCTTTCTTTAGGAAAATGCATGGCTAGCCAAACAGACCAAGTTAGGCAAATGTACTTTTTGCTGGTGTGAGCACAGGAGCACCAAAATAGTGCAGGACCCAAGAGTACATCCCAACTGCAGTTCTGGGTCTTAAGGATAACAGCAGGCCGTACAGCTGTCTGCATCCCAGTCCACACTACCTCCATCTCAACAGGATTAATTTCAGTTTGTACACCTTCATTCAGTGCATCACTGACCTCAGATACTGGTTCTGCATTTCTACCAGTTCAGCATTAGATATGAGGGGTGCAAGGAGAGAAGGGAGCTTTAGTTCATCAGAGTACTTCTGGATCTGTATCCAAGGTTCCTGGATTACCTCCCCCAGCAGTTTCCTGCAGCTATTAAATAACATGGATGATTACAGAAACTGCTGTGGTACATTGCAAGCCAGTAGCTGCAGGGAAGTATAACAGCCTACACAGAAGGTAGGACCAGATGCCAGGGTAAAACTAGTGCCATCACACTCCATGTCACCTCAGCAAGTCAGTTGAGAGGAATACCCCGGTTGACCATATCAAAACAAGTAAACCCTAAAGAAGGAAATCTACCTTGCCAAATGGGAAGAGTAACAGTAACACTAGTCTCCTTGGTACTTTACTTTTTTCCCACACCACTTTTTCCATATGAGGTTGATGATCTTTTAAGTGCAATTCATGGAGCTAAATTACAAACATAAGACTGGGATGAAGTTAATTCTCTTTCAATGAACAATCAAAAGTTCATTTCTTAAGGCTACCATCCAGTGTGGCTGTCCATAATCATCTGAACTTAGAAGATTACAGGCATCGAACCACATGATGGAGAAGCAAGGAGGTAAAGATTACCGCCATGCTTTTTTGCTCTGCAAAAAAAAACATAGATGGTGAATTTTCAGCCACATATGTCTTTTGACCCTGTTCATGAGGAAATGGGGCTGAGGCATCACCAAAATTTCTCATATTGGCAAGCATCACTCCTGGCCCCTCAGGATCCCTTCTCCCACATTGCCAACTCAGTAAAACTTGTGGCTTTGGAGCTGTGGCCAGCATGGGGGCTGAGGAGTGGGGACACAGGCTGCAAGAGTAGAGTTACAACTCTGACCCGGGAATGTAGCTGAGAGTTGGGCCTATTTTGTGGCTATCTGGACAGCTTCTAGCAGCCACAGGATTGTGCCCTAATATACTTTGAGATATGTGTTTTTAAAAGGAGAATGTAAAGTTTGAGGAAAGCTTGCTGAGTGCATTCCTTTAATACCTGTGGAAAATCACATCTTTGCAACACCATGCATATGGAAATTACATATTCCAAGGGTGTGCAGTGATGTCTTTCTGTTGGTGCAGAAAATTGTCATTCCACTAATCTTCCCAATCCTCAAATATTCCAAAGGCCCACTTGTTGTGTTCTCCACATTCAGATTGGATTTTGAATTTCACCCTTCTTATTTTAGCCCCTTAAAAGTATTCCCCAAGGGTTGGGCTTCCCACTGGAGCAGCATTTTGTGAGGCACAAAAAATTCTTGTTTTAAGAGAACAGTGGCATATTCCCCAAAGTGTTTTCTTTGTGTGTGCAGGCGTGTGCCCACACACACAAGCCTTTCTAAATCATAGTCATAGACAGAACGGTTTACCGTGCTCCAGGAATGAACAAATCTTAGTATTCAGTATTCTCTGTTCAGAAGAAGTTATTGATGAGTTGCACCCTGAGGGCTTCACTGAAGAGCCTCTAAACACAAAGCCGAAAAGCAAATTTTAAACACAGAGACAGTGGACTTTTTAAATGAATCCTACCTGATAACCTGATTATTTAGCTTCCATTTTGGTTAACAGTGGCTCAAGATGTTCAGAATCATTAATTACTTGGTTTCTCTCAGAAAGATGAAAAGTTATTAACTGTGTGATCTTGCTGGTGCTTTTCTTTTTATACCTTCTTTTAGACTGAACACTGCAGCTCTCTCTCAAGCATCTATATCTCCTTTGAAGTCCTCCAAAGTGGTTGTTGCTATGTCACCCACAGTGAAAAGGATAAACAGACACTCTCCATCTTCAAGCCCAAATTTAAAAAGGTATGCCTTGCTCTACTGTGTCTTTTCCTTAGACACGGGGAAAAGGAATAGAATAGGGAAGGATAATGGAAAAGCCTAAGGAACAATTGGCCAAATCGTGTTTATCTGTTTGCATTTTAATTTTTGTTACTGGATTAAGTTTACTAATAATCTTAAAACATTTTGACCTCATCTTACATTTTGCATGTCATTTCAAACTCCAGTTTGTGCTAAATTAGTATGATAATCTACAGAAGTGACCTCAAGAACTAGTAAAACTCTGGCTGTGATTCTGTTTCTACAGACTTCTTCCCCCTTTAAAAGTGCCTTACAACTGCTTATATAAGCCAAGGAACAGTTATTTCCTATATAGGAGCGGCTTCCAAGGAAATCCCTGCAGAAAATTCCAAATGTCCCTGGTAATTTTTTTCATGTGGTCTTAGGATCATGTATTTACTCAGGGCATAATAACTGTGTCATTATCGTACCATTCTTTCCCATAAGTTTTTGCAATGGTTGTGCCGTAGTTTACACTGGTTCAGAGAAAGAATCAAACTATTTGCTGCCATCGTTTACTTATGCAGTATCAATTTGTCATCTTTCCCCTAGTGTCTTTTAAAATGTCTTGCATTAATCATCACATATTTGTACATTCTGTGTGTATTTTTACCCCACATGTGTTTTCCATTCAGCGTTTCCATAAACTCCAGGCTAGCCAGTTCTCTAGGGAACCTGTATGCTGCTTCAGATGGTGCTGAGAGCAAACTGACATCATCGTCCTCTAGGACAGGTTATTCTGTAAACCAAATCTCCAGTCATTTCAGTGGCAGTACACAGCTGCCTGCCAGGAATTACCCTGAGCTGAACAACAACCTGTACAACAGGAGCGGCAGTAGTGCTACCAACCTCAACAGCCATACCATTTCTCCCAGCGTCCTGGCAGATGATCACAGCACCTACAGATCCTTTACGGGGCTCGCTGCTTCTCAAGCAAGATATCTGAGTCGCTCAATTCCTGTAAGTTCACAGCCTCAGCAGCCCTCCCAGGGAACTGACAGCACCTCTCTTCAGCCAGAGCCTCTTCAAAAGAGATTTTAACCATTCTAGACCTTCTTTTCCTGTCTTAAATCATGCTCCTTTTATACCAGTGTCTTTGATTTTTGTTTTGTTTTGGCTTTGCTCATTTCAACTTGGCAAAAGCAATCAACTGCTTTTTACTTCTGTTTCTTTGATGTCCACTCAAAAAAGGTGTAACAGAAACAGATACTTCCTTAAACTTTCTAACATCTTTCATGAAGACACCTTTCTTCCTTATGCTGTCCACTTCAAATCAATCCTAATAAAATCCTGAAAACATGAAACTTCCATAGTAACCTAAGAATGTACAGGTTTGTTAAATACTTTCTAACATCTTTCATGAAGACACCTTTCTTCCTTATGCTGTCCACTTCAAATCAATCCTAATAAAATCCTGAAAACATGAAACTTCCATAGTAACCTAAGAATGTACAGGTTTGTTAAATATATTCAAAGATAGTATACGTTAATTCAAATAGGATATAGCCTTAACCCCATGAAAGGGATTAGTTAAATTTGTAAAAAGATGCAAGCTTGACTCAAAAAATTGAGTTAAATTTACTCTCAAAACTAGTTTTGTGTTCCTGCTTATGGTGCATTTTCCTTTATGTCTGTAAATTATGCAAATAACAGATATTACTGATGTATGGAATTAGACACACTTAGAGTATATTTTTGAAAATTTAAGATATAAAAAGTTAAGATCAGTATATTTTTGTTTTCATAATCTTCCAATATTCTACATCATTACAAATATTTTTAAAATAACTGTTTCAAACCCGGCTTCTTAGAATGCACATTAATGACCATATTCTGGGTTGCCTAAGCACAGCAGTGCTTAGATTTAATCTACAGGGTCAAAAAACTAAGGCTTTATTGCTACTGTTAAGATTGCAGTATCTCTTGCCATAGCTGCATCCATACAACGGGTTTGGCTGATAACATTTTGTGTCATAAAGGTATTTCGAATTTAGTGTGGAAGCATTCAAAAATGTGGAGTGCTTTCCAAAGCTGAAAATTGGGGTGTTTTATACAACAATTGCTTTCATAATTTGTAATATTCAGCTACACATGTTTAGCAAGCACCATCTTGCTTCATTGTATACAGAACTATTTGAAAACTTCCCCCTTTTGAAATAATGTATTGTACAGTTTCTAAAAGCAAACTGATCCTAGTAGTATCTTTTTAATGTGTTTACTGCTATAACCATTTCAAGTATGTTTGGTTTTGAGATTAGAAATTTAGTTTTTATAATAGGCTTTTTAGCTAGAATATCATAAAAGAATAACCATATTTAGAAGATGTAGGTGGTGGCACATATCTGAAACACCATTTCTCATTATGTTTGCATGGTGTGCTATGATAGGTTGCTGGTATTTTAAATGGCATCCTGGATTATTTTATGAGGGCTCAGTGTTTGAGAATATAAGTAGGAACATATAAGCATCTTTTTGTGTAATTTTAAGAGCTGGCTGATGCATGTTCAGTAACCATTTTTATCAATGTATAGTGTGATTGTCCTGAACTGTGGCTCAGAAAGAGATCTAGGATGGTTGCCTCAACTGCCATGATTTTAGAAGAAACAGGACACTTACCAGGCATGGGACCAGATTCCAGTGAGCTGGTTCCATAGCACTGCTGCCTGCCCAGCCCTTTCACTGACGCTCTGCCAAGGCCTTCCACAGCCCCAGAGCTCCCAATCCAAGGTTCCCACCTGCCTGCCCCCAATGCCATGCACAGTTGTATGTCACTCAGCCCACACAGTCACTAGCTTCCCTCCCTCCCTCCCTCTCTTTTTTTAATTTCCTGAAGCTACTCTGCTCCCCCTCTTTGTCCAGCCTCAGCTGGCCCCACTAACAAAAGGAAGCTCCACAGTGCCTGGACAGACAAGTCTGAGGGCCTGTGCTGCTCCATTTCAAAGCAATGCCCTTTTTAATCTTCCATTTGAGTAGCACCAGCCTAAACCAGTCAAATGTTGTCTTTGAGGGAGGTGCAAGATCTGTGAAAAGGCAGCTCCTTCACCACCTCAGTGCAGTAATGGGCCATTCTGCCTCCAAGGGCAGCATCTGCTTAGTTTAGCTTGCAGCTGTTTAAAGGACAGGTTTAAAGAAGATTCTTTTTGAAATAGTGTAGTGGGGATCCAATGGGCTTCTCTGCTCTGGTGCCATGGCCCTACTTTTTGACAGCAGGGCCAACTCAATGAAGAAGAAGAAGCAGCGGGACAGAGGACAGGACTGAGCTCTCTTGAGCTGCTGGACTATCAGCAACTGCCCACCCATGCTGGCCCCTGATACCAGGGCAATGCCTAGTCTAGAACCCACAGTGGTCCAGTTTCATGTAGATACTTTTACTCATAATACTCTATTACATGCAGTAGCGCATAACACTAACCTGTTTTACTTAACCCATGGTTAACTCACATTTGTTGCCCTAGCCATAAGTTGTCTGGCAGACAGTTGAACAAGCTACAGACAACGAGATAAAATTTAATTTTAACTGGGGAAATGCCATGCTAAACTGGGCCTAGATTTCACTATCCACTGGCAATTACTGGTGCAACAAAATGAATGCTTAGCTTTCAAGGTGTTGCATGTGCTGTATCCATACATGTGTGCGATAGAGATGACATGTTACAATTGTTCCTTTTGTCAAATGACAGAGAGAATAGTACTAATACTTTTCAGTGCTGACAGTGCCTTTAAGAATGGTGCTTAGGTTGTCATTCAGGTTATCTCCTATAACTGCTCATAGAAGTGTTCAATAATACTTTATATTTAAAAAGGTAAATTTCCCAGTACTCTGTTTGGGAAATCTCCACACAAAGACAAAACCTAGGAGTGCGTGAATTGGAAAATCATGTGGTCAGTTAAGTGCAAATATAGATAACAAGTAAAGACTGGTTCACACATGCAACCTGCACATTTTCCTCAGGGTCATGTGAGGAACAATAAAAATGGGCTGGTCAACATGCCAACTGCCAGAAGCCATTTCCACAATTATTGAAACAGTTTTTCCACAACTGCTCTGATTACTAATGATCAATGTAGTACACACATGATTTGCTACATCACTGTACACTCACATACAGGGACAAAGAAATAAAATAACCAGGACTTGCCTATGTAATGCAGTCTGAGAGACTCTGATAAACAGAACCTATTCTTCTTCATAGACTTTGTAATATTTAGGGGTTCCATTCAAATTAGTGGCTCTGATATTCTGCTTCATTAGAAAAAGGTAACATAGGAGTCAAAATGCACCAGTCAGAAAAGTACTAAACAGCAGAATGTAACCAATTTTAATTTACAACATTATGGTTTGGACCATTATAAACCCAGGCAGACTTGTATACAACTTTCTTCATGTCTGCTGTATTAATAAGATTACTAAAATATTGAAGGCATTGTGCACCATAGTTACCCATAAGAATGGTTTCTTCTGAGTTCTTTACCTGGAGGTAAGTCCCATTGACTTCACTGGAACTTACTGCTAGGCAAGTTGTCTGAAGATCAAGTCCTTTAATAACAATCAGTATTGATGGCAAGATCTTAAGTTAGATGTCATTGTTGTAGCATCACTTGCAAGAAAAGTTTACCTGTTTTCTCTGCTCAAAAATGAATTTTAAGTTCAAAGGGACTCCATTAGTACAAGTATTACCAGGGGTTTTCATGGCATGCATTTAACTCTACTAACTTTCTTCCTGCCCATCTTTGCTACTTCAAAGTAACTGTGCATAATAATTTGTACTTTTTTCTATTCTTCCTCCTCTTGAATGTTTCAGTGTGTTCTAAAATGTCTTGCTACTTGATTCATTCATGCAAATTAACCCTACTTCACTCACTTTCTGAATGTAATCAAAAACTGAAGAGTGCTTTTTATCATCGAAGTTAAAATGAACGCAATTAAACTACAATAAGTGCATTTTATCTTGCACTTTTCCTTACTGAGATTAATCATAGAGGTGACTATGACTGTGTCCTTTGTTTTAAAGCACTTAATGTGAAAGAGCTAGAGTTCTTAATTAGTGTGAAGAAATATAGAAGTCACATTTGCCTTTTTGAACAGTTGTCAGCTAGCAATCTCACCCTACCCCCACCTCAGTTTCCAGTAAGACTACCCTAATGTTCTGTTCCTCACAATTTAACATTTATCTTTAATTTCCATAACACAAAACAAGGAGTCAGTGCAGTAATTGTCAGACTGTTTACAGCATACACTGGTGAAGTGTGGGAGAACTGTTAGTATGACATAAAGCGGAGGCGGGGGGGGGGGCATAAAAGCTTCATTGACATGAAGTGCCTTTCCTAGTAATCTCCACACTGGAGTTGACTGGAACATCCCATCACACTTAATATGGGATGTACAAGAGCCAGTGTGGAGTAGTGGTTAAGAGCGTGGGTCTGTTGCTCAGGCGATCTGAGTTCTAGTCCCTCCTCAGCCATAGAGCCAACAGGGTGACTTTGGGCCAGTCACAGACTCTCAGCCCAACCTACCTCACAAGGTTGTTGTGGGGCTAAGATTGAGGGGAGCAGCAGCAGAATGATGTAAACCACTTTGAGTTCTTTTAAAAAAAAGGGTGAGAGATAAATTCAATAAAATAAATGATAGTAAAGCACAACAAAATGATGAGTCCTCAAAGGAAAGTACCCATTGTGTGTCTTCGTAAGTCATTAAACCCCAGGTTTCTTCCTCATTGGAAGATGGAAAGACCAAATCATTGGCTCGTGCAGAAGTACAACACTGAACTCGAGAGTGTGTAAATTTTCTTGGCTGTGTGCCTCTAATTTTAATTTGAGGACTGGAATTAAGCCTCTGTTTAGATGTTGGGAAAACATTGATTTACTACTTGGTTAACTTTATGTCCATTTATATTGAACTTCCCATAGTGTAAACAAATTAAATTTGTTGCCTGGCCACATTATATTGGATTTGTCTTAGCCAATTTTTGTTTGAAAGAACACTGTTTTATGTTTCTTCAAATATAATATGTCGCTAATTGAATTTTAACCCTAATTTTTGTTTTTTACCTGCACAGTCCCTTCAGTCTGAATATGTTCAGTACTAAAGCCTTGTTGCTTCGGTGAAAGCCGGACTGTTATTAAAAATCATTTTGCTTCAAGGAAGATCAATGTTGAGGGAAACAACCCACTGGGAGAACACCTCTTCTTACATGATTAGAACTTAAGACACTCATGTTTTTGGCTTAACAAGATGCTTCAGCTAGTGACTACTACAAATGCACTGAAGTTAAACTTCTGAACATTACACTTTTGTGGACAGATGCAAGATTTTAATACTGAGGACTTTTCTAATGAATTTTAGCAATACATTTGTAATTACAGTTCTGGTATACAGTGTTAACAATGTATATGTACTGAGCAAAATATTGTGTGTGTGTGTGTGTGTGTGTGTGTGTATAATTTTGTAAAAAGTAGGCTCTATTTTGATTTAGGCCTCACTTTTTCCTTTACCAAAACTGCATTTTAAAATATATTATTTTGCAATTCAAACATAGACCAGGATCCAGAGAAGGCCATGCAGAGTACTTCTACACAAACAGGGAGAGGAAGGGGTTTGCTGATCGGTGGCTTCCCCTCATGCCTTGTGAGCTGTGTTCCAAAGGGCGCCTCAACTCTCTCAACTTTGAAGTGCAAAAAGCTGCTGCTAGAAGGAGAGAGGTGATGGTTTTGTGTGTGTGCATTTGAACAGCTCTCTTGATCCTGGCTATTAAGAATAGGGCTACTAGCAGGTTATATTTTATTCACCCCTCATTGTGGATTCAGTTTAAATCATTACTAGCAGAAAACTAATATCACTGTTCTTTAGCTTGAAGTGCTGGTATTTAAAATGGACATGTTAAAAAGCATTTAGAATACCTATGAAAAAAGGCTTATTGTGATAGCCAGAATTAGTGTATTTTCTGTGGAAAGGAAGAGTCATTTAAAATAGTAAGTTATCTGTTAACATTGTCAGCCCAGTAATTTGTTTTACAAAGACTTTCTTAGATCCTGTATTTTTCTTCCTGCCTAATTTGTTTCTAGAAATTGTACTCTGTCAGAATGTAAATCCATGATGCTATGATACAGGAGGTGTTTGTGCATATTAAGGAAAGCCTCAAACTCACTGAATTTGTAAGAATTGCATGTATTTTGATCTTGACTTGACAGGCTTTCCATTAGTTGCAGTGCTTTTTGATACCACAAAATTAGGCATGAAGGAAGGCAATAGAGATGTACAAGAAATGCATTCCTTTTCGCAAATCATGTAGATGTGACCCATTCACAACCACAAATAGAACAGGAGCACAGTTCTTGGGATTATTTTTTTTTACCATTTCCCAAATGTGCTTTTGTCTTCTAAAGTGTGCAGATGCACACTTCTGAAAATTCACAGTTGCACACGCGAACATGTTTGAAGTCTGAATGTATAAAATCCCCATGCACATTTTCACACTCTAAACATGGGGAAATAAGCATTTTGGTGGACAAAATGAATATGTTTAAATGCATATTTTTAAAAATTGCATGCTTTTAAAAATGGAATGTTTTTCCATTCAGAAAGTGTGTATTTTTCGTTATGGTGAAAAAGCACATTTGTGTTTGGGAATGGGAATGAGATGAAATGAGCTTCATGAAAGAATTCAGAGAACCTCAACAAACTTGAACATTGTTCATACGTCCTGCGCAGAAAGCCGCATACTTTCATTATGTGTACACCCCTGGCTGTACTACTTAGACATCCCTACCGTGCTGCTTATTGTTGTTGTTGCAAATGCTGTTCTCAGTGGCAAAGGCCACTTTCAGGCATTTGGTTCTCAGTTTGGTTTAATCACTTCAAACAGTGCTACTGCAAAAGGGCTGTAGCTACACCAAAAGCTTTCAAAAATACTTTTTGAAATAGATGCATTTCCTCTATTCTCCTGTGCCGGCAGTACTGTCCATTCACAACTTTGTAAGTGAAACTTTGTTTTCTACTTAATCAGATATGAATGACCCTTTTGGCCAAACATCTAGCCTCCACACTCCTCTGTTGGGAAGTTTCCACCTGTTATTTACTATTTTGCCCAGTCTTTGGTTACCAGTTTCAAAAGCTGTCAGGATATTTCCTCATGATTTGAAGTAGATTTACTATTCTGATTCATTCCCAAACCTGTAATCCTATTTTTTCCAATTTGGATAGAATGGGAAACCATGGTTAATTAGAGACTTCCTAGATTGTTCATGCTGCAAAGGGAAGAGCAAAAGGCTCATTCATATACAGTGATTCAAATCAGGCCATTTAACAAGGAATGTACTATTTGTTTAACTGTTTTCATATCAAGAATGAATAATGTTGACCAAAATTAATATTTTTAATGAAATATTTTGAAGGATTGGCCCCAATTATCATGGAAACATTCTTAATTGCAGTTGTTTTAATCATTGCATACAATATTAATGTTGTTATGTACATAAATGTACTGTACTGTATATGAGTGAGTGGTAAGCAAATTCTGATTCTACCTCTATACAGTTTGATGTGTATTTTGCTACTAGCTTAGTTACTAGAAAGATGTACTATTTTTGAAATGTTTAAATATAAATGCTAATGAGCAATAAAAGTGAAAGTTATATAGAACTACTTGTTTGTTTTAATCAGATGTTATGTAATACAATACTTGTGTTTTAGATAATATTTTTCAGTGACCTCCAGGAGTCTATACCCTTCTTTCAAATTCAAAGGCTGCTGCTTGTTGCCTGTTACTATGGATTCTTCCAATCATGTAGCCTGTACATCCACTCCACACTCACACACACTCACGCATGCACACACCCCTAGCAGCTTCTCCTATTCCAGCGGGGAGCCTTGTCTTATCTGAGGGCTTCTCTCATTTCTTGTTTCCCTCTCACCTCTACATCCCTCCTAAAACTAAGTACTTTACCATTAAATAGTTCTCCTCTTCCTGCTTAGTTGAAAATGTATGCAAAGGGTTTGCCTGCTCTTCTGTGAGCTGCAAAATGTTTTGCACAGATATGGGAAATACCCATGAGCATGTTGTGTGTGTTTCCTCATAGAGAATAGGAAAACCTTGGGCAAGCAGAGGATGGGAGTGGATGTCTGATCTGGAATAAATGCAGAAAGTTGAATATGGGGGAGATTAAAGGCAAAGAAAAACAATGTTTAAATGTATCTTTGAATGTGAAATTCCTACTTTCAGTAGAGCATACATTGTAGAACTGTCAAACAATCGAAGCATCTTGTTTTATAGTTGCTAGTAAAATGAAATAATTCTCATTTCCCCTTGTCCATTTTTAAAATATTAGGGTATCTGCCATTTTTGTGATTAGTCCTACACCAGAATACAGTAAAAGGATGCCACTTTTCCAACAAAGGAATTGTTGTTGTGATTCTCCCATATATATTTATTGTAAATTGCTCTGTTCATCAAAAGCACATGCAAGCCAGCTTTCTCCATGTGTACCATTTTAAGAGCAATTTAATTCTTCTCATGTATTTGTTCTCCTTTTCAGTAATTAATAAAACATAGTATACAATGTTAAGTAGGTAAAATTGATAAAGACCAAACCAATAAGATTAATTATCTTATTGAAAATACTTTCGCAATTATTTCCATCACACCTTGTATTCTCTGTGTGCCAGGGAATGTGTACACATATGTACCACAAATCTATAAAATTTGTTTCCTTCATATACCTCCAACAATGCTACCTGTACTGATTCTAAAAGTCCTTTTGACTATGACTTGGACTAGGAATAGGCATTATCTGATGTTAAGTTAGATTTTATGTTTTATTGTGGATTTCATCTTAGTTATAATTACTGTTTTAATGAATTTTGTACACCATTCTGGAATATGTTAATAAAGAATGGTAGTATAATACTTTAAATGGAATAAATCAAATTGTCAGTAAAACTGATTCTGCAACATAGATTTCCCCTTCATCCTATCTACTCCTAGAAGATCAGTAGCTGCCAAACTGGAAATTAAAAACAACTACAAAAAGTTATTGTAATTTGGTGCCAGTCAATAAATCAGTTTTCAATTTCTATATGCATGGTGTAAAAATAATTCCAGAAAGTAAAAACAATTTTGCTTTCTGTTTGTAACTGGGGAGGAGAGGTAACTTGTTGTCCTCCAGATATTTTGGCTGACAACTTCCAGGTTCTTCCCCATTGGCGGCACTTGGTTTATAGGCCAAAACACTGGAAGGTCACAAACAACACACCCCTGTTTTATAATGTTGGTATCAGGTCCTTTTTTATAATCCACGTACAAACAAGATAATGCAAGATAAAACAGTATAAAGTAATTTCACTTCATTATAAGAGTAGGTAATAACACAGGACAAAACACAACTACTCTGCTTTTAAACAAATCCTACCAAAGGTCAATAGG